TTCAATCTACTTATGGAGGATGTTGCTTCACTGGCCCAAGTTGGCACCATCATTGTGCTCTTCTCTGGCGAGGCAGATCAGTCGCCCGCTTCTGGACGACCGCTCACTGCGGCTGCTGGCCACTCACGCTGGCTGCTGGCCACACACTGTAGCCCATGGCAATCCACTGCCACAGGGACTGCAGCCCACGCCGTCGCCGGCGACTCACGGCTGCTCAGCTCAGGCTGGACTCGAACCGCTGTTGCTCAGAGCTCAAACTCTTGAGCGAGCTCTTAACCAACTGAGCCACTCGGCCGGCCCCCGTATAACATTCTTGATAAGGGATTGGATTAACAGCCATTGTTGTACCTATTATATTCTTGTCCCTTGACTGACTAAGGCAGAATCATATCAAAATTATTATATTTGAAAAAGAAAAAAGTAGGGGCAGTGTTTTTGAGAGCTCTGTAAATTGAAAGAAGTTATTCATGAAAAGGTATAATCAGCAAACTTCAAATAGATTCTATGTAAACATTTATATACCCACAAATATTGCCCACGTTGGCCTTGAAATGAGATGGGTAATGATAACATATTACTATTTTGGTAAGTCCAGAGACGCACCTCATATTTATCCCAATCCTAGCAATCGTTTTAAAGGGAAAAATTTGTATTTTAGAGGCGTAAATGGAAACCGTTCAAATCAAAATTTTAAAACAATTACATGTAAAGATAATTATGTTATGGTTTACTAACTTCTGTAGTAGAGATTGGTGATACCTAGTTAACAAAGAGGCTGAGTAAGTCTTGGGCGGAACTAGACATTTTCTTCTATTTTTGCCCTGAATTACACAAGTGCAGCAAGACACACTCGCCAGTCCTTCAATCACAGCATCAGTCCTTCCTCAAATGCCCTCCTCAAATACGGCTCCCTTCGAATATGTATTTCTTATCTCCAGGATGTATGTATGTGACTTTCATGGCTGTATTTCAGTTCTTAGGAAACCGAATCATAAATAAGTAACAAAAACCTTTATGTCCCTATATTTTCATTTTGGTAACATTTAAGCCAAGCAAAATCATCATTATACTAAATTGATACATGTATCAGCTGACAGAAGCGTTTCCTACTGTGTGAAGTTAGCTGTTATTCTTCAAAGGAAGTAAAACTAGAACCAGAGAGCTTGCTCAGATTTCTTTGATTATTACATAGTGGGTAGAGAGTGTATAAAAAACAAAGTAGATATTTGTTTCAGAGACTCAGAAAACTCTTGCATTTTGTGAATCCCAAATCCCTTTTCAATATTGTTGGATAAACGACATAGGGAGACTTAAATTTGTCTGTAAAGACACAAAGACACACGTGATGAAACAGCACTTTTGACCATGTGAGGACCTTCATGCTGCCTCTGCACAGGCGGCCTTGTTACTAGTTAAGCTGTATCCTTCAGGTCCATCTCTTCTGGAATTTGGTACCAAATAATGAATGCAGTGTCTGGATGCTCAGATAAAGCAGGGTTTTGAGAAACCTTTGGGGGAAATCAGTCTTAAGCAGCATTTTTATTTCCACTGTCTGAGAGCAAAGCCAGGTGAGATGATCAATTCATAATATTTGTTAAATTTTGTATTCCATTTTCCTAAGAAGACTTCAGAAAATATAAGAGAAAATCCCAAATACTTATTTTTTTATTTAAATAGGCATTAAGTACTCACACTCTCTATGAAAGTAACAAATCCTCTTTCCTTTTCTCAAATATATAGGAAGAGATTCCAAAAAACAAGAATGCCTCATTCTCTTTCCTCTCCCTCTCCCTTCCTCCCATATTTTCTTTCCCCCTTTCACTTGCTTTCTCCTATTCTCCCTTCCTCTCTATGCAGCAGCTCTTTTCTTTTGTGGAGTACTTTCAGAAACAGAGAACGTTTTGGGTTTTAAGAGCTCTGTTTAAAAAAAAAAAAGTGCTTTTTGTTGTTGGTGGGAACATGAGTTCAATTTTATTTTCAGGCCAATGCTGAATCTCCTTAACTGAAAAAAATAATCCATTTCATATGATAACTCATTTATCGCAGAGCCATTTGCATAGAAAAAAGAAAAGAATTACTGGATGATGAAGATGAGAGCAGAGTTGCACTGAATTATCTTCCATATATAAATGCTTTATACTGGGGAGAGAAAAATAATTTTATTGTTTATCGCTTCTCTTATAAAATAATGTATTTTGCCATTAACAACGGGCCTGTCTGTTTCTTCATGTTTTCTTCTTCAAACATAGTAGAATTTTCCCTTTACCTCCCATGTAGCTTATCCAGCACCAGAATTTCTGATCATACTCATCATTACTCCTTTGAAACCTTTCTTCATTAGTAAACCCCTGTTTCACTTTGTGTGGGATCTATGGAGCCCTTACGTTTCTCACCTTTGATATTTTTTTTCAAAAATGAAAATTGCTTTATTGATCCTTTTACTTAAGAATACTGCATGTTCATTATAAAAGTTATAAAGTAATGCAGAAAAATAAATAAGAAAAATGGAAAATTATTTAGTGTTCTTTCATCTATAGATGCCTCCTGTTAACGTTTTCATAAATACTTTTTCAGATTTTTTCCTTTGTTTTTGTGTCTATCCATCCACCCATCCATCCATCTATCCATCTATCCATCTCTATCACTTGCTGTATTACTAAGTAATATATCATGAACACCCTTTCATATAATATATAACTGTATCATGATTTTAAATGCCTGCATAGTAAACCATTAAAAAGATGTGACTTAACCTTCCTTTAGGGGTCTAGGTTATTTAAAAATTTTTGCCATTATATATTATGTGTTGATAACATTTGCACTGATTCTTAAATTCTGAAATGAGCTAGTGATCATATCAGGCAATGGGAAATTATGAAGATAAGTCATTGCTGTACATAAGGAAAACTTCTTATTACAATTTAAATGAGAAGAATTCTGTTTGGTTTTGTCCCCTGAAAAGAAGTACCTTCATACATGTTTGTTATTTGTTTAGGGGAATATACGTTTTTAAGAATAAAGCTTGTAGATAATAGCTGCAAATGTCAGGTAGGGAGTAGCTTTTTTTTGTTTGTTTTTGTTTTGGTGACACTAAGCATAAGGTTTTGTAAAGAGGGTACAGTTGAAATCCACTGTTTAGAATAATGTCAGTCAGTCATTATAGCAGAGTCTAGGAGGCAGCATCTTAGAATAGCACCATTCATTTCATGCCCTTTGCCTGAAGGCTTTTTTTGTTTGTTTGTTTGTTTTAACCAAGGCTCCAGTTCATTCTTTCACTCAACAGAACTGTGTGATGGTCTTCCAGGGCTAGCCATGAGGCTGGTTGCTAGCAGTATAGAAATGAATGCCGCTTGTTCTGTCTGCAAGGTTCTCGTGGTCCACACAGTGAGGCCAGTGGGCAGTTGAGTGCTGCTCAGGAAACTGCAGGCAGCTTCAGTAGGAAAGGGAACTCCTGCTGGCGTCACACCCATTTCCTCCTAGCCTGGGAACCTTGGTGGATTCATCACTTACCACCTTTTCTTCCAAGCCCCAAAACATGTCTTGGAAGCCTCTGCAGTTAGGGTAGGTTGTAAGTCACTCTTTCACGTGCTTTTTGGAAAGTGGAGAGGAAAACCAAAAGTGCTGGCTGAGGCTGGTCCTGAGAGTGAAGAATAAGGTCCCAGGCAACTTCCGGACATCTTACTGCTGCTTGAGCATGACTCGGCACGGAGGCGTGAACCTGCTTGCAGTCATGGAGGGAAGAAACGGTTGCCTGCTTCATCATGCTGAGGAGCCACTTTCAGCAACCTGATTGCGTGCTGTGATGACTCAGGATTTGCTTAGAAGATGTGTTTATATAATCATGAAGGCACTAGAATGTTATGTTCTCTCGTATGTCAGAAAGAACAAGAGATGACTCCTTACTGTCTGGAGGTTTTATCCGAGCTTCTCAAACTTTAATGGACACAAAAATCACCTAGAAATCTTGTGGAAATGCATATTTGTATTCCTTAGGTGTGAGGTGGTTCCTGTAATTCCAAAATGCTTCCAGGTAACGCCAATGCCTCTGGGTTTATGGGTGGCATGTCTTCATGCCAATGAAGAGTTGCGTTTTGTAACTTCATCTGTTTGTTTGTTTGTTTGTTTGTGTTTTTCAGCTGTAGTGATGGTTCTAAATAGCATGAGTGTCAGCTGGAGTGCCCGCATCCAGATTTTTCTAACCTTTTGCAAGCTCACAGCAATTCTGATAATTATAGTCCCTGGAGTTATGCAGCTAATTAAAGGTATGGACTGAAAAGTAAATGCTTTTTAAAGAACGTATCTGCTTTTCGTCTCTTCTACACTAACTTTCGCTTGTACTAGCAGAATCCCTTAATTAGTTCTGCTTGTGGAACTGAGACTCTGTATTGTCATCTGATTGACTTGAAAGGCCACTGCATTTGGGGTGGGTGGGTATTTACCTCTCAATTGCAAGAAGAGCATTTAGACAGGACCAAACAACAAAATAAGGCCTCGGTGAAGTCTCGGCATAAACTCATGTGAAACCTCAAAGTGGGGAAAAAAAAATGCCATTAAACTACAGATACATATGTCCTCTTCTTTTTACTTTAAAATAGTTCACAGATTTAAGATATCTGGAAAGGTAATCAGTAATTTTTTTACTTGATGGTCATTATTCCTTTTCCCTTCATAATGGAATCTTGAGAGAAGGGGCATCAAATATGGGAATAGCATTTCTAAAAAACCAAGTATTATCTGACAATAACAATAGTTGTGAAAACGTAACTTTTATTGTTACATGATTTTTAATGTAAAATCTGCATTTCTATAGAAATGTAACACCATTTTTGGGCGTGCTTACCTTATGAGTTGACTGTTTAGTAAGAAAAGATGAGACGGTTGAGGGGGTGATGTCATTTAGAGTTTCCGTTGGAGGGAAGAAGGCACATGCAGTTTCTTGTATTCAGTAGAAATTGTTGGAAGAGAAGAGGTCCACGGGAGTTATCTAATTAGCAAAGGGCACGATAATGGGACATACATAGGAAAGTGAGATGAAATTGTAAAGGAGTGACATATAACTTGGGCATCTTAAGTATTTCATGTTTCCATTGATACTGCCTGCTCCAAGAAAGGGAACTTTTTGAGAAATATAATGAAGTTGCAGGTTCAGGATTACACAGGGCAAAAGGGAACGCCCAAATTCAGCCAAATCCTCGCTGCTGGTAGAGGCATTAAACAATAACAAGCAGCGAAAGAGCCATCGCTGTGTAGCTGGGAAAGGGAGCTGCCCTTGTCCATTGAACAAGCCCAGCGGGAGAGCTTAGAGGTCTCCCGGCTAAATGTTTGCAGAGAACCAGCAACCTCAGCCAACTAGGAACAAAAACAATAAAGAAAAGACATGAGCTCGCTATTCTAATCCACAGTGGCCTCCACAGAGCCGGCCTGCTCATATTTTATCTGATCCATGTGAAATGGAGGAAAAAATAATCTGTTTTGTTAGTGCTTTCTTTTCCCGGGCTAACTCTTTAGTCTCCTGTGAGGAGTTTCTTCCATTTTTGGAAAGTGCAGGAACTCTGGGTCATTGACCCTATTTGAGTTCTAGTTTAGGTTCCAAAAGTTGATACATTATCCTTTAAAATAAGATTTTTTTCTTTCTTTTTGATGTAATGTAACACTGTAGTCAGTTTTTACCACTTACTTATATTGGGTTGTCGGAAAAGTCATGATGTATGTTTTCCGTTTTTAGTTGCAAAAATGTGTCATGACTTTTCCGACAACCCAATATAGGTGTGTGTGAGGTGAGATGAGTTTGCCCAAATGTTACTGTATTGCAAATTCCTTGAGAGCAGAGGTCATAAAATATCTTTTGGATCTATTTCGGATCACTTACACTAGAATGACCTTTAATTCAGTCTGATGACATCAGTACTTAATGTGACCAGGCTGCCTCATATATCTCCTCACCTAGTAGAGAGATGCCCAGAGAGTATCACCACATTTAAAGTAAATTTTAATATTTTGGAGAGCGTCCTTAGCAGGTAGACTTACTCTATTACTGTAAAATGGTGGTTTTCTTTATTTCTAACTTGATCCCATATTTTTCACATCAATTTGAAACTCCAGGCAGGACAAAAACTTGACTAAGTTTTGTGCACTTATTTTCTACTCTAATCAAACCCTGAAAATAGTTCTGTTCTGTAGTTAGGCATGAGGATTTGTTAAACTTTCCTTTGAATATCATGACTTTCATCTTCCTGAGACCTCCGTTATGTATCCAAAATTTCCCTGAAGTTTAGAAATGCCTCTCTTTTTGTAAACTTTCAAAATGGCACTTCTCAGACTCTGCGCTTGGGACCCCACTCTTTACAAGGTTTGGTTTCTCTTATTGATTATTCAGTGCTGCACTATTAGGAATATTGTCCCTTTAGGCCAAGGAGACCACGGATCATGATTAAAAAAAATTACAACAGATGTTTTTATCTGAGTTCCAGTATTTATATTCCCCTTTTATGAGGACACAGAGATGTTTTAGTAAAACAGGCATTTCTGAAGTCACTGTGTCATTTTTAAAAATGAACTATGTTTGGGAATTGGATGCTTCGAGGGAAGCATCATTTAGTGTATAACTCAGCATTCTCCATTTTTTATCTCAAAACTCACACATATTATATGTTGTTGCCTGGGAAACCTAGACAGCACCTGAGATTTGCGTGAAGAGAGAGAATCTCATATATATCAGCCACCTCCATCCCTCTTTTATTTCCTTCTGTGAAGACTAATTTTGAAACAAAGTCACACTTTCCATTTGGGTAATCTCATTTGTGATTTTCTTTGGAAAGACTTTTTGTATGCTTAACTTCGAATATAAATCTGAATTTCTATTTTATTGTAATTATCCAAAAGGCATACAAGAAAATGGCCCATTGTGTTTCACAAAGTACAGAAAAATGTGATGAATAAAAATGTTCACTCCCCATGTTGATGCAAAATTTGTTAAAACCTATCTATTTTAAAGTTCAATATCATTCCTTTTCAGGGTTTCTAGAAGGAAACCGTGCCATTCTGTAGAACAGTGTCAGTGGAACTTCTCTGTCAGGGGCCAGATAGTAAATATTTTTAATTTGGGGTGCCATGCGGCCTCTTCACAACCACCCTACTCAAGGGTGAAACCAGCCACAGACCCATAATATCAGTGATACCTGAGTTAGAGGGCCTGGCTGTGCTCCAGTAAAACTTGACTTACAAAGGTAGCTGCGGGGAGGGCAGATTTGGTTGCAGGGCTTTCCAACCCCCTTTGGTGTCTAAGGAACTACAAGGGGAAAAGCAGAAAGAAAGTTAATGATGTGGGAAGGCAATTCTAGGCTTTCTCGCCACCTCCTAACTGAGAATAGGCCCATGGATATTTCTTCCCAAGTATTATATGATCTTTATATTAAAGAATTTTTCATGCTCCTATAAATTGTAGATTACGGGAGATCCTTTTCTCTTCTTTCTTGGTCAAACTCTGTCAAGAGTAGAGCAATGCTCAAACAAGGGATTCCTTTTTAAATGCCCTTTTCTCTTGGCTATAATTTTATTAAAAGGGAAATGTGAGGTAGTGGTAGTGGTGATTAATATACTTTTGGGACTGCATGTCTAGAATGGGTACAGTATTAATAAAGCTGGCCATGAGCAGAGAGTAAGAAATCTAGACCTGAAACAGTGCAGTTTGTCCCCCACCTTCCCCCCCCCCTGCCCATATTTATGGTTAAAGAATGAATAGTAACCAATTCTTTGAAAAGTCCTAAAATCTTTCTATTTTCATTGCAGGGCAAACACAACACTTTAAAGATGCCTTTTCAGGAAGAGATGCAAGTATTATGGGATTGCCACTGGCTTTTTATTACGGAATGTATGCATATGCTGGCTGGTAGGTTGATTTCTCTAGTGGTGTGTATAGTTGATGAATTCCTTAGAGAACTTTGAGTTAGTACCCAGCAGAGTGCCAGGCACATGGTAATAGTCATAAACCGCTGCACTTTACTTGAAGTGAGAAAGATGGTATGGCTCCCACCTCCATGGATGACTTAACGAAAATATAACTGAAGTATCCAGTCAAGGTGACTACTAGATTTAGCCTGATGTTATAAAAAACAAACAAATCCTGGGTCTTAAGAGCCAATACAAAATCGCTTATAAGTATGGATCAGTAAGGACATAACTAGTGCCACGAGATATTAAAGATCAGTACTTTGCTTGCCAAATGGTCTTTCAGCTGAGACTCCAAGTGTGTTTACAAATAGTGATTAATTGGTTTTTTCCCACCTTCCCATGAGATAGAAATAATTCAGACGTAGAAATAAGTTAGGTGCTCCCGGGTGGTAAAATAGTACTGTGAAGGTAGGGAAGGAGAAACCAGGATAATAAAATCAGTTGTACTTGATAATCTGTTACATTTTAAAGGGCTTTACAGGTTTCTTAAAATTTCCTCAACATTTGAAAACATAATATGCAGGAAAGATGGTTAAAATCACTGTGACACGGGTACATTTCCTTTGATGAGCCTGTCTCCAGCTGTGATACTGCTCTGATTGAAGCATTAAAACTTTGTACTTATGCCTGGCTTTGTTCAGGAATTTGAATAACAGTAATTGTGAATAAGAGTGGGATATTTTCTTAATTAAATTTTATTGCTCCATCAATAGTACGATTTAGTAGAAGTAACTGTGGCAAGAAAGCCCACAAGGTAGAAAAGTATTATTTAAACATCAAAATCATTGCAGTAAAATTAAATTTCACTCTTTGGTGGTGGTTAGTAGCAATACAATATTTCTTTTCTATTATTTATAGAGCTACTAGTTGTACAGGTTTAGCTGTGAGAATATTCTATTAGTCTAAAAAAAGTATCAGGAAGCTACACTAGCTAAAAAATTGTGTAAATGAATTTCAAACACAAATACAATTTCCTTTTGTTTTCGAGATTTTACATCCCAGCTAATGCATGGAATATAAGGATATATTACAAAATAAATAGACTGTATACCCTATTAATCTCATTGAATTATGAAAATATAGCATTAGAGGAGAACTAGGAGAGTATAGGAACTTAAGTTACATTTTTAACATGGCTTTTGAAGCAAAATATGTTTGAAGTTCATTAGACGATGGTAGCTTTAAGGAATCTACCATAAACTATTTGTATAATCTCGGAATATTTTTATAGCCATTGTGTGTAAGCATTAGTCTTGAATCATTCAGCATTTTTGAAGTCTTTTTAAATTTTTATCCAAAGCACAGTGTGCTGCTGGGCAGAGAAAAGAACGGAGTTGTGATCACAGGGTTAGTAACAGAATCAGCTCTTCTATGGCTATTCAGCCTGGATCAGAGCCCTGGAGCCCTGGGGCAGCAGCCAAGCGACTGGGAAGGTCACCAGGAGACACCAGCGTAGAGCGGGAGGTGGCAAAGGCTTTCAGCTGGAGCCAAGTATTGGGAAACCCTCAGTGTTCAATGGGGAATGTGGGATGTGGAAGTAGTCACAAGGGAGATTTGATTAATTCTATTGAATGCAGTTTCTTTGGCTTGTGTGTGCCATGCCTCTGTTCCCACAGAATATTAAAATCTTCTGTCGAACTCACTGCCCCCCTACCAGCACAGAACTCTCAGGCCAACTGCTTTATGTGGAGCAAAGCTCCTCGTCTATAAGCTTTTGAGGGCTCATAGATTTCTTCATGTATAAACACTTTCCATTTTGCATTATCCTATTACTTAATATTTAATTTTATTGATTTTGAACCCCAAATGTTACTCTTGTTAAAAAAGTGTTAAAGGGACAATGTAGGTGATGCAAACAAACTTTATTGAACACTTCACGGAGTGGGCTGTCTCCACTCTCAAGTGTCCAGCGTACTGCAAAGCAGGGTGGAAGCCAGGAAGCCAGGTGGCAGGAAGAATGAGGAAGGAGGAAGAGAAAAAAAGAAAATGAATAAGGAACAAGGAACTAAGTGTAGAGCCCAGAGTTGGCTTAGTGTCTGGGGATTGAGCAGCTCCATTTTGGGCCTAAAAATTTCTTTCAACCCTGTTTACAAGGTAAAATGGGGTTTCCATGAGCCTTTATTGCTACTCTGACCCACATGATCCTCATAGCCACTCCCTATTTTAAAGAATGGGAAGCTGTTAATTTTCTTATATTGTTGAGGGTTCAATCATAAGATTGGAAATTAAGGCCAGGATTTTAAATGAAATGGTATACAAGAGGCTTACGTAGGGGACAGATAAGTAACTGTATTTCCATAACAGGTTGTTATGCTACCTGAATGCTGCCTTGCGGATAGGTAGGAAAGATCTGGTTGTCAATCTGTGGCCATCAGTTTTAGAAACAGGAAGTTGTGTTTAAAAGACACAGTCTGTTGGTTATTATCTGGATGTAAATGGAACAAGATGGAGACTAGAAGAGTTCCCAGGGAAGAGGGAATTGATTCACTTTCCGAGTGTGATCCTGCCTTCCTGACCTCTCCCGGTCTTCCGTGATGTAATTACAAGACTGGGCTGTGGAATTATAAATGGGGCACTGTCAACGAGCCTTCACTCCCTCTGCTGCTGCAGTGACAATCTTTGATAGAAAAAATAAAGTATGGGCCTTGCACAGAAGTAGGACAGAAGTGGCCGTTGTCATGAGAACTCAGCCACCTAGGGTGGAGGAAAAAGCAGCAGACCCTGGTCCGGGAGGTGTTGCTCTGGTAGCATCCCACCTCCTGCGTGTTGAATAGGAAAAAGACACTTGCCAAACCTTGGATGTGAATAGAGTAGGCTTTTGACTGTGAGAAGAGCAGGGCCTTTTGGAACAATGAAAACGCCTTCGCAGAAGCATGATTAGGGGGAAAGAAACCATTCATCCAGCCAGGTCACAAGAGTTGGGTCAGAGCAACTTAACTATCATTGCCAATGTCTCTATTCAGAGAAATATGTCTCCCTGTCTTACTTGTGGCCCAGGGGAGCTCAACCAATTTCAGTCCCATATTCTGATCCAAAGCTAAATATTGCTTGATGGGTTTTGTTTTGTTTTGTTTTTAAACTGTGTGATAGAAAGTACGTTTTCAATGTCTTTTTTCTCCCTTTCAAATCCTATCCTCAGTGGATTTGGTCTTTCTAAAGCACTTGCCAGGATTATTTTGTACCATTGTGTCAAATCTAATCTGCAGAATAAGCTTCTTTTTAAAATAATTCACATAGTTGGTTCCTGGAATGCACTGTCAGCTTTGCGGTGCCTTTTATACTCAACCATGGAAAAGCAGAAACAATAGATTTCTGAACATTCTCCGGAGACCTTGAGGCGACATAACGCCAAGAGGATGCCCAGACGCGTTGGTGGAGACTAGAGCATAAAGGTGGATTTCCCACAGGATGCACACGTTTGGACCAAAATTAGAAGCTTTGTCCTCTCCACCTTGCCCCAAACTCTTTCCTTTTTTCTATTCTCTGGTGCTATGGCAAATATTTGAAATTGTTTTCTTTTTTGTTTGTTTCATAAATATTTCCATACTTCCTTTCTTGCTTTAACATTGTTGGGAGAAAAAAGCCCCAAAAACAACCAGTTTCTAATTGAAGTGTTAAGAAGAAACTGGCTGTTTTTGACATAAGAGGCCTGGAAATATTTCTTAGCTTGTGTGGGGTTTTGTTTGTTTGTTTTGCTTTTTGTTTGTTTTGATTTTTGCATTTTCATCCTATACTTCTCACCGCCTAGGGCTTATAGCAAACACACCATAGCCCTCAAATGCATATTCCAGATAGAAGTATTGATTGTTGCTTGCTTTCCTGGTATAACTACAATCTCTGTTTTAGAAACACACTCTGGTCATTAAAAACAATATCGTTGGTTGATAACTTTTTAGATCAACTTTATTGTTATTGTTTTCTTGGCTAGTCACATGTTTCTACTTAAAACGTATCCTTAAAATATTACACACCTTAACCTTGTTAAAAGACAAACTGAGGCCTATTAAAATTTATAAGAATTTGAGAAAAAAATCGATTCTAATCGGGCAGCATGCAATCTAACAGATAGAAAGGAGCTCTGAGGAGCTGTACAAAACTAAAGACTTTTGGAAAAAGAAGGGAGTGGGAACAAGGAAGTTATACTAGACCAAAAAAAAGCAGTTGGTTATTGCAATGTCACTTTCCTGTCTTTCAGGCAGATTATCTACCTGGTGCTGGTCAGACAATCCCTGATTGACTGGTTTCAGATTCCATTTCTGGGAGAGCTGAAACTATTTATAATTTAAGCCTCAGTTGAAATTATAATTTAAGCCTCAGTTTGATGCCATGGGACTTAGCATAAGTGACTCCATTTTGGGCCTCTTGTCTTGTATTTAACCGTGAGCATCAGTTGCCTACTTGTGAATGTAGATGAGTTTTTTTTACAGAGATGGAATAAGACGGGTTTTCTCATCTTTCTTTTATGTCACGAGACATTTTAAGTGTATTCAAGACTGATGAGTTAATATTCTAGCCATTCGGTGTTAGAGTGTAGAGAATTTGTACCCACAGACCATGTTTTTGTGTACTTACATAATTGGTATTTTACCTCCTAAGGAATACTAGGAGAACAGAAGAGTATATTGAAAATATTACTTTGTTATGTTGTGGAAATTTCCTAAGCCTATGAAATGAAGAAGTAGAAAGGTCTTTATATGTCCAGTTTTCCCCATATGATGCCTTAGTTTCCCATTCATGATCCAGTTATCTATGTTTGTGTATTTGAGGATGGAGTCTGCCTAAGTGTTAGATCTTAGAGCCTTGAGAGAGAACCACAGGGCTTTAAATGGTCTCCAGTAGTCCCTTCACATTGGAAAAAGGAGCCAAAAATGCGAGAGGGTAGACATTCCTGGATGGGGAAAGTAGAGTCACAAAGTGAAGGAAAGGAACCTGCATTTTTCTAGGGCCATAACTTTAGGATAATATTTGCAATCCTATAGAACTTGAAGGTGGAATATCATGGGCCCTGAATGCTTCTTGTCACATAAGAGACCCAGAAAAGTGTTCAGGGCTTAGGAACTATTCAAAATGCTCTGCTCTTTAGGTAGCAACTTCTACCTGCAGTGACTAACAGCGTGCCTAAAATTAGCTGCCTACCTACACAAAAAACAAAAACAGCCACTTGATAGCCTTGTGACTTGAGGTCATTTGATGGGATGCATGCTGGTAACCAGTGAATTGAAAAGGAGAAGTGAGAACTGAGAATTTAGTATCTTTTATCCCCTTTTTGGTTCCTGTTTGCCCTCTGTGTTTATATCTAGAAAGCCAGTTCCCTACAACTGAGCGATGCAGCTGTCATATTTCTCCTTAACTGACTTGTCACCACTCCTAAAATCTGGATTCTCAGAAGCCAAAGGCCATCTTGTGCTTAAATTCTGTTCTCACTCCCCCTGCCACACTCGGTGCTGCAGAATACTACACTGCTGCTCATCCCCTGTGTGTATAGCACTGCCACACCCCTGAGCTCATGTGTCGCGCTCAGCCTGGAATGTCCTTACAGTACTTCACCGGTGTCAATGTTAAGCATTTTTGAAGACTCAACTCGGGCAATGCCTCTTCTAGAAAAAGCTTCTGTGACCTGCCAGTCTGGGTTAGACCTCCCCCTGCTCCCATGGTGCCCTGTGTATGCTCCAGCACTGTCTCCCATGCTGTGTCAGTATTCTAGGAAGCACTCTATAAGCTGTGAACGCCTTCAGGAGAGAGACTATGGATTTTCTACTCTCATTGCCCCAGTGACTGACACATTATAATCTCATCTGTTGTTGGGGGAGAATGCAAACAATGGTAGAAAAATCATTGTCAGTAAACATACGTCTACGCTATGACCCAGCGATCATATTCTGAGTACATCACCAAGAGAAATGAATGTACGGTCCCCAAGAAGCCATGTAAAAGCGTATTTATGGTATGTATAGCTGTAAGTTGGAAGTAATCCAAATGTCCATCAACAGTAGAAGGTATAGTGTTACATTCATACAATGAAAAGCAACGATAATAAATAATGAATCATTGCTACATACAACAACATGGATGAGACTCACAAACATAAACGCCAGCTAAAGAGCCAGACACAAAAGAATAAATATTGTACAATAGTTATACAAGTGAATACCGGTCTAATTAGGATGAAACAAGCAAAATTAGTCCATGGTGATAAACGTCAATAGTGGTTGTCTTTGCAGGAGGGTGGAGGCGATGATATTGACTGGAGAGGGCTATGAGGGAAGCTTCAAGGGCAGCAGTTCTCAACCTTCCTAATGCCGTGACCCCTTAATACAGTTCCACAAGTTGTGGTGACCCCCAACCATAAAATTATTTTCGTTGCTACTCTATAACTGTAATTTTGCTACTGTTATGAATCGTAATGTAAATATCTTTTTGTTTTCCAATGGTCTTAGGCGAACCCTGTGAAACGGTCATTCGACCCCCAAAGGGGTCGCGACCCACAGGTTGAGAACCGCTGTTCTAGGGTGTTAGAAGTGTTTTATCTCTTCATCTTGTTGTCAGTTACATAGATGTGTAAATATGTAAAAATTCATCAAGTTATACGTTAAGATTTGTATGTTTTACTGTTCATGTCATACCTCTATAAAAATGTGAAAAAATAAAAAATAACCATCAATACGGTTTTATAGGAAATTGATTTGTTGGTACTTTTGATGGTGGAACATTGTCATCTTACTATGAGTATTTGTATATAAAGTTTTCATAATTCTGAGTTTGATTTTAAATAGTTAAAATTTGAAACTTTGGATTATGGTCATAAAATATATTAATAGCTTGAAATCTATTTATGGTTTTAGGTTTTATCTCAACTTTGTTACCGAAGAAGTAGAAAATCCTGAAAAGTAAGTAGCCATATTTACTCTGGAATATTTAAAGGGAAGAAAATGTAAGCTTATATCATTGAGAAAGTATACCAAAAGAAGAAATTCAGTGTGGGCCAGTCAGCTTTATACTCACTGTCATCTTCCTCCTCCTCCTCGCTCTCCTTGGCAGATAACATTTATTTGACTTTATCATAAATTAGATGTAAATGAATTGACAGTATATTCAACATTCCATTAAATTATCTGATAAACTGAAAGTATAAAAGAAAAAGTTTTATTGTAGGTAAGCTATTTTGTAAAAACATACATAAAACTTAACATGGACTCTCAGCTGCCCACAGACATTCCATAAAACATCAACATCAAAAGTTACTTGTAATAATTCATAGGAGTCTTTCCATAACAATCCAATTAAAGAGAATAATGTACTCAATAAATGATTAATTATGAAAGCCTAGAAATAACTGCAGAATATTATAGGAGCTTGTAAATTTGGGAGCTGGATGATTTCTTACACTTTTCGTTCCCAGGTAATACTTTTGATGACTCAGTGACATAATGATGATGTATATGTTTCTAAAATGAATTATTTTTAACTTAAAACTTAGAAAAATGAGTTATTTTTATGATTTGTGCATAAATATTTGACTTTACACAGGAAAACAACATAATCTATGATCTGAGGAGGGAAATTTTAAGAGGTACAGTGAAAGATATAGACAGAATGATAACGTTACTTAATTCATCTTTGTTTAAACATCTACCATGTTAAAACCGTTGTGCTAGGAACTGCGTATATGAGGAATAAGACTTGTATTTAAGGTTTTATTGTCTAGTTAATGAGTGAGATATGTAGACAAATAACTATAACATGTTGTGATTGACACCCTAATAGGTTATTCAGTTTGACAGAGAGGAAAGGAGGAAATACTTTATGGTATCTAGGGAGATGTTGTTTATATAAAGTCTCAAATGATGAGTAGGTATTTTTGGGGGGGAGCAGGGAGTGGAGGGGAGAGAGAGAGAGAGAGAGAGAGAGAGAGAGAGAGAGAGAGAGAGAGAGAGAGAGAGAGCCTTCCAAGAAGGGAACAAGTACCAGGTGAGTCAGTATGAAATAGAAATAGCCCAGACATCAGAGAATATGCTTAAAGGTTGACCATTCAAATTAAGGTAGACTAAGAAATTCTGGCACCAAGTATATTGGGAGATAATAAGATCTGACCAAGAACCAAAGTAGTCAGAATTTTGAGCACATAACAAAGCAATTGAGTTTAAAATGATGTTTCATTCTGTCTCATTCAACTGTTAGGCAAATCAAAATGTAATTTAAACATGTGTAAAGGTTATTTTATTGAGTAATATGATAAATTTGTGACAGTACTTTCATATTTATAACTGGAATTGTGGTGGGGGACATACATTTACCAGGATCTAGTTCTTTCTAGCATTGCTTTGAAATGATAAGCTGCCTTATGACTCTAAATCCATAGATTACAGAGATATATTGGCTGTCCTGTCTTTTCCGTTTTTGAGAGTAATTAGTGTGTGAGTGGAAACATAGAGAAAAGATTGCTCTTACTAGATTTTATATAAAATATTTGTTGAACTTTCATTCTGTGAAAGAGATAACTATGGTTTATTACTTTCTCTTTAATTCTAAAACATTTTTTAAAGCCAGTTACTAAAATCTAGTATCAGAGAGCATTTCTTATGAAAAAAAAAATGACAAGATGTAAGTTTGTGGATGTGATGTGTCACATAACATTTATTATATTATACATCAGTGACATATAGTTCACATTCTCTTGTAATGTTCTTTAACAGTTTAAGCATAATTTTCATTTGCTATCTATACAAACATACTATTGTGTATATTGAGCATATTTTTAAATTATTTATGCCATTATTACCCCAATCTTAATTTGTGAGTGGTATACTAGTCAAAGATTCTCTTCTTCTCTTTTTCTCTTTCTTAGTTTTAGGGCCTTAGCTTTCACTCATTGATAATATCTATGATTCAATATGTACAAATACTAAAAAACAGTGATGCATTGATTCGGTGTTTTCTTCTTTTATTACAAAGATATTTCCTCATCTCAAAAAAAATGAGAACTACAATAGCACCTACATCATTGGGTTGTGGAAATGAGTTAATATTTAGTGAAGTACTTAGATTAGAGACTGTCAATTTTTATACACTACATAATTGTTTGATTGTTCTTACTATTATTATATCCTTATTTAAGGAAGAAAGTAAATGTTACTTACATAAGAGTGTTTTCTAGGTTTCAATATCCTACACGATTCTCTTTCTTCAGCGTTTTTGAAAGAAATATGAAAAATTATTTCATACCATATTGAAACCTGTTCTCAAAACTTTCAGTACTAAAATTGAGTGTGCATTTTATAATCTCTCCTGTTCTTGTGTACAGACTTCATTGACATTTTTATATTTAGAGAAAATAAACTTGTATTTTAAAGGAGAAACAAGTTATAGGAATTTTATAATAATTTAAAAGTAACTATTGAACCTGATTTAGACTAATATTATTATCACTGGTTACATTGGATGAAATATTTTCATTTTCTGGAATCATGATTCTGCAAACTTCTTTAAATATTCTAGAATACCTTTAATTTGATATTATATTTTAAGGCCTTAAACTATGGAACTTTGCAGGAGAGATTAAGAATCTGGATTTTTAGATGAAGATAATGAGTGATTGGTAAGACTTCAGTTGAAAAAAGAAACCTCTGATACCTTTTGTTCTTTTGCACTAAGTACTCAGGTATTCAATTTTTGCATAGAAGATTCTGTGTAAAACTTAGGCAACATAATTATTTTCTCAAAATCATAATATGAGAAATCCACACAATTCCCTTAATGGAAAGTAAAGGTTAAATTTATACTGTGTATTTATCAGCCAAAGAAATTCAGTATTCTGAGCAATTTATTCAGTATCTTCCCCCCCCCCCCAAAAAAAAATAAATAAATAAATAACATTTCCCTGCAATGTTGACAATCAGTCCAGGTTTTTTCAAAAATAAATCTTATTTTTTTAAACACAAAGAATGCTTTGGGAAATATTTATGGCTGAATAGATGGTAAAATTATGTGGACCTAGTCCAGATGTGTAATTTGTATTATTTCGTAGGGAGACACAGCTCCAAAATACCTTTCATTACAAGGGAGACTAATTATAATTTCATCTCCTTTGTGACGTGCCAAGATAAATGTTTCCCAGTCAGTCGCTGGCTCATGTCTCCAGGTGTGCTGCAACGTGCAACTTTCTGGCAGCTGGTGAAATGAATCATCAGCTGAAGATACAACACCTTTTAGCATCCTCCTTCACCTAGGCAATAAATTTTTCCTGAAGTTGTGACCAAGTAAGAAAGTGGTCATTAATTTAGATCAGAGAAAATAGCAATGTGACTTAAAATATATAGAATATAAAATAAGGTTTCATGATCACAGTTGACAAATATATATATATATATATATATATATATATATATATATATATATATATATATATATATATATAATTTTAGTGGAAATCTTTCAAATTGCCTAGCATTACTCTATGGAATAATTTCTGAACTTCTATGATGAGTATGACTTAAAGAACAGTTTTTTAGGTGTTTTAACAAGTAGAGATAAACAAGAGATTAGTGGAATAAAATAACTGGTTCATGACTCTCTCTTCTATTAAGTCTCTTTAACCTACTCTTTAAAGCTCGAAAAGCACTAATCCTAAAATTTTGGGCAAAATTTCTGCCCTACAATTACATTTATAATATTAATAAATGTTCCCATGGTTTTTCTTATGTTTTTTTCTCTAAGAATAGCTTTGGATCTATGGAAGTAGTAATCCTCTAAGAGCCATTTAACATTTTTATGTGAAGATACAGTAATTATTATTGAAATTTTGTAATATAACAATGTTGCATTTAATAATTATCTATAGCATGGTGACTGCCACCACAAACGAATATATTAAAGTATTAATAAGAATATTATTTTGAGAAGCATGAATGTTCAAAGTTTGGACCATGTAGGTGATAGACTCCCAAGGAATATCTGAATTTTAAAATGTTATCCCCCACAAGATGAAATGTATAGTAGTAATGATCCCTAATGTGTACATTTGTTTTTAAAAATGAAAATTTTTTTATTTGCAAATCTAATGAGTTTTGCCTATGACATTCCTTTTGTGGTGACTGTGCAATCTATCATTGTTCAGGAAGTTACACAGTACAAAGAACATATCATTGAGATGTATAATGTTTGTAATCCTGCTCTTCGATTGATAAATCATGTCTTGTGTTGATGAAAGCCAAGAAATGAATTGCTTTACTTTGACCTTGGGGGTCTGAGACTGGTTGGTTTGCCTATTAGACTTGTTTCGGTGTTCTTCTCACTTCATTTATTCCTTCTGTTCTAAAGAGTTGAAAATAGTAGACTTGGAGGAAGTCAGTAAAGCTTGACATCATCAGTCATTTTTGAAGAGCAGGCTATCAACAAGTTCTGAATAATCAACTTTAATAGAAGGTTTAAATAATCAGAGTGTCATGTTTAATTAATACTCTGCCTGCTGCCAATTTATATTAATTGGTGCCTGAAAGTCATCACACCTGTACCAATGATAACTTTGAAGATGAGAAACTTGGTTTGGGAAAAATGCCCAAAGACCTTTATGGCAATGTGATGATCAGACTGGCCCATAAATGGGCCACAGTTATGTTATTTGCATTAGCTCAGATGTTCCAGTCTTAAATCCTTAGTATATGTGGTTTTATCCTTATTGACTTGTATTCAGCCAAAGTAAAGGCGTTATTAATAACGTTATACTATTTTATAAGGCCTTTTGCTTATAGGACATATACAACAGTTAATCTGATTAAAAACACAGCAAAACAAAACAATTTAAAAATCTTGCTTAAATGTGCTTCAGCAAAGTTGCATGAGAAAAATATTAAAGGTTGTTTTGAAGTCTTTGAGTTTGTATTTGGCATTT